TCTTTTAGTTTTCATTAATTGGTTTTGATCGTCAATTTTACGTTTTTCATTGATCACATCATGTTGAGGTGGTATGAGTTTATAAAGATCAATCAGTTGTTGTTCATACTCATTCTTTAGTGATTTATATTCTTCTGTTACTAGTGTTGTAAGTTCTAGACTTGTTCGTATAGAGAAATCTGTGATTTTACCTCTAACTTGAGGAGGAACACCAGTGAGAGGTATTTTAGGTCTAAGACCTTTTGGAGCAAAACCGTAGTTCAAACAAGATGTCATAAATAGTATATGACATTCAAGAGTAATAATTTTGTTAGAAAAATAAGAATATTGATTGAGAAAAAAAGATTTTGAATCAAGATTAGCCATATTTGAAAACAGAGTGATAATACAAAATAAAAAGTGTGTAAAAAGATAATTACCAAAAGGTTTCAACATTGTTTCTTCATAAAATTGCCAAACGGCTTAATCATTTTCAAAATAAACTTATCACACACTTTTATAGAAATTTCTATATTTCGGCATTAGCCTTCTTCAGGAACAAACACAATAACAAATAGAAGTGTTTACCACTCTGAATCATATGGTTTTAGCATAAATCCAAAATACATATAATTTATGAAGAAGTAAAAAAGAAAATGTTTTGATAGAAAGAAAGAAAAAATTTTATATATATATATATATATGTATATATATACTATCTCAAATTTAGACCGGAAGGTGTTTTAGATTTAAGTATTAATTGATGAGCTTGCTCAAGCTGTCTTAATTTCAAGTCTGGTGCGTCTTTTGCCAATTTTCTTATTCCTTTTAATGAATAACATTGTTCAAAATTTTGAGAATGCTCTCTCGCATGAATAGCCACAGGTTTTAGTTTATCAGGATGGTTTACATCATATCTGTGGCCATTCATACGAACTCTTAGAGCATTGGTGGTTTTGCCAATGTAGTCTTTAGGACAATTTTTGCATGAAATTTGGTAAATTACATTAGTAGACTCACAGGTGATGTTACTATTTATGTTATAACATCTTTTTGTTTGCCTGCTTGTGAAAGTTTTTGATGGGATGATTAATTTGCAAGTGGCACATCGTGGTTTGTTGCATTGATTACAGCCCGAAGGTTTTGCTGAGGGTTGGGAAGTGGGAGGTAGTTTGGGTTTTGAAAGAATGTCTTTTAAGTTAGGAGCTTTTTTGTATATTAGTCTTGGGGGTTTGGAAAACAAATTATGGGTCAGAGGTGAATTTGAAAGAATATTATGTGCCACTCTTAAAACATTATTAACTTTGTAAAGGCCAGGAAAGTATTGGGTGATGAATTTTGGATCTTTTTTGAAATTATCTGTGTTAGGATTTTTTGAGCTTTTTATTTGACTGTCTATTAAATTTTTAGGATAACCTCTTCTGTTAAGTGAATTGCTGAGTTTTTCAATATAATTTTGGTAATCACGATTTTCAGAACAAAGGTTTTTTGCTCGTATTGATAGGCTTTTTGGTATGGATTTTTTAATGTGTGCAGGATGACAGCTTGAGTAAGCTAAGTAATCCATTGTATTCGTATCCTTTACATGGATTTTGGATTTTAACATACCATCTCTAACAAAAACGTCAACATCCAAAAAAGTAACAATATCTTCTGAGAAATTCCAGGTAAATTTAAGGATTGAGAATTGATTTAGATTTTCAAGGAAAGTTTGCAGGTTTTCTAGTCCATGTTCCCAAACCATGAAAATGTCATCAATAAACCTATACCAAATTGAAGGTTTCAACATTTGTGAATTTAGAAAAAGTTCTTCAACATGCCCAACAAATAAGTTTGCAAAAGAAGGTGCCATACGTGTGCCCATAGCTGTCCCTTTCACTTGAAGGTAATTTTGATCAAGGAATTTAAAATTGTTCATGGTTAAAACAAAATGAATTAAGTTTATAATAAAATTTGCACTAGGTTTGGAGTTAACTGGACGTTTTTCTAGGTATTTCTTTACAGATTTTTCTCCTTCTTCATGTGGGATGTTAGTATATAGTGAAACTACATCAATTGTCACCAATATAGTATTGTCCGTTAGTGGGGTGTTTAAGTTCTTAATTTTATTAAGGAAGTCTTTGGAGTCTCTTATATATGACGGTAAAGTTTTCACTAATGGTTGGAGGGTGTCATCAACGAATGCTGAGATCCTTTCAGTGGGTGATCCATATCCAGATACGATAGGTCTTCCAGGTGGTGGTCGAATGGGTTTGTGGACTTTAGGTAAAAGATAAAAAATTGGTGTTCTTGGATTTAGAGGGCTCAAAAGTTTTATAGTTTCTTGACTTAGGTCTTCATTTGGTCCATATTTTTGCAAAAATTTAGAAATGTCATCATTGAAAGTAAAGGTATGGTCATTTGGGATTTTTTTGTAGAATTCAGCGTCATTCAGTTGTCTTTCTGCTTCTTTTATATAATCTTCACGATTCAAGATTACTGTACTGTTGCCTTTATCTGCTTTTACAATTATTATGGAAGAATTTTTTTATTAAAAATTTTTTTAAAGAAGCTTTTCTTTCATTTTTTGTAAGATTATCCTTTGAATGTAGTGAGGATTCAAATTTAGGATCAGAAATGTTGGAGATTACAGTATTAATGAATTGCTCTACTGGATGGTCAGGAGGAAGAGGATCAGGTTCCCAGTTTGATTTAGGTTTGAATTTATCCAAGCAATTGGGCGTTGAACAATTTGGACTGTGAATTTGGACTGTGTTTGGCTGTTGTTTAATATAATATTGTATTCTGACATTTCTAGCAAAAGAGAGACCATCTGCGACAAAATCAAAGTGATTAAACTTGGGACGTGGAGAGAAAGTGAGACCTTTATTGAGACCTTTATTTGTTGATTCATATTTTATGAAGAAACAATGTTGTCACCTTTTGATTGCAAATTGTCATAAATTTTAAAAAATCATCCCTTTTATTGTTTATAATACAGTACTTTTATAAAGGTTTTTATGTTTTAATATTTAACATTGGAGAATTTAAACGTTGTTAAGTGCACAGGTGTGCTGCGATTGGGGTTTAATACATTTGGACTTATTCAAAAGTAAAATAGTTTTCTGTGCTGCACTCTGTAGAAACACTGTGGCACTATTTCAAATCATGGCTAATGCTAATACAGAATGTTGTAATTATTCAAACCTACAAAACAGTTGGTAAAAGTAAACATCTGCTTTTAAATTATATTTATTTGTAAACATTGTAGATCAAAAAGTCTGACATTGGCCCACTTAAAATCCTCTGGGGCAGAGCCCTTTTGATAGATCTGCACCAAACTTCACTCGAACCATCCTTGAAAGATGCTTAATAATGCCTGAAAGTTTCATTACAATCTGTCGAGCGGTTTCGGAGTCCATAACGTATATACATACACACACACACACATACATAGTTCCTCTTTTATAGATATAGATTTTAAGTCAATGATTTAGCTAATTAATTAACATTCAGGCAATTAAGAGTCCAAAATATTTTGTGTACTCAATTTATACTACCCTACTCTATAGTATGTCTTTAGAGAAATCTTATGTTCAAAGTGTTTATCTGAATATTTTGTTCAAAGTGTTGTACTAATGCTTATGTATATTCTTATTCTATAATAAGTATTCCTGGGAACTCATTTCAATCCTCAACAGCAGTTGCAGTACAGGTAGAAACTAACTGGCTTATTTGGTTTCCAACTTTTGGTGTGTGTACTTTGCGTGCTTTGCTTGATTCCCGTTCCATTCATTTCAACCTTTTACTAGGTAAGTAAATCTATGAAATAAAAGTACAGTAATACCTCACTTATTCGACTATTTGTGGACTCGGAGGCTGTCAAGTTATCCAAAATATTGAAATTTTTAATGGGTTTTAATAAATAAATTCATAACAGACTAATTTTTACATACAATTTTATTACAAACATGAGTATTTTTACATATTGAGTAAACAATCCTCAAAGAAATGTTGAATGTATATTAAAACTAAATGTTCTGGGGAAATAGCTTATATTTTTGTGCACCCTGTCAGCTTTTGACTGTCCAGTTAGTGAGGTCCTACTGTATATGTATTTATAATCAGAGTAATCAACATTTCCAAAGAAATAGGCAAGTTTGGTACTTTTACTTGAAAATAGAAAACTATGTTTATCTTTTAATTAGTGGAGAAACATGGCCTTGTAAGGTTATCTGATGATGGATACATTTTTTTTATGGAGATATATATATATATACATACATGATATATACTATGGATATAATTTGATGATTGCAGATCAGTGATTATCATACCTCAATCAGGTTTCAAGTTTATCCCTAAAAGTAGTCAATGCTATTTAAAATCCATTTTCAATTATGTCCTCTTTGACTGGTCAAATATTCATCTAAAGAATCAGCTGTTACTATTACAATTCACCTGTCATTTGGTTTTAAAGAATGTTGGTCAGCATAACAGTCATAATTAAACTAAAATAAGTCAATTTGAGAGCAATTAACATAAATTAGTCTCCAATTTCCGTTTTTAAGTTCATATAATCTCGTTATAATCTAAGGCTTAACTTTCAATCCAATTGATTTAATGTGGAGACCTAGGTTTCTACGCCGGAGCGTTATTGTCAGTCTTAAGCTAAGCAAAACTTTTTGTTTTACATCTCTTACTTGAGATATTGTCGGTTGGATAGAATTTTTACAAATACAAACACTGAATATACATGAATATTTACAAAGACATAGTGGAGTGGCCATGATCTTTTCAATCCTTCAATCTTATCCTTCAATCTCTTCAATCTTTTCAATCTATTTAGTGCTCAGTACTATTCTAATCTTAAGTAATTTGAACAACTCTTGTGCCAACAAAACAGACGGTTATTAACCATTGTTTTTACGTGTCTGCGTAAAAATGTACTTATGTTATAAATTGTACAATAAAGCACATTTTCAAGTTCATTTCCTATAGTCATTAATAGACTGTATAACTTATGATATTTGTTTTTACAGCAAGTTCCATTCAACCCTGCAGCGTTTTTAGCCCGTCCAGTGTCGTCTGCAGTCATCAGCCCGTCTCAGTGTCCCAACGATGACTCCGATTAATCTTGGGATCATCAATTGCACATCTAGGAGTATACTTGTCATATTGTCACCCTAACCATTCACCTAACAAATAATAGTTTTTGTCTACAGTTGTAAGCAATACAATTTTGAGAATATATTTGCTGTGTTTCAATGGATCACAACTTTTTCAAATTTCAAAGCCATGTTTGTTACTACTTGCTGATAGAAGTACTGAACTTTAACTGTTCAGTTTTAGTTCTTACAATATTTAAGCCCTTGAAATATCTTTTGAATTTCTTTTGTAAAGGTAAATAAATAAGATGGATACAAACCCTTTATGTTGAACAATTTCAATTGAGTGGGAATTCTTGTAGGAGCATTATGGGTTTATTTTTTACTCCCCTAGTGTGTACAATAATATACGCCAATATAACTGTATTGGATAAGTTTAATCTGTTATGGACAATAACGAAAACAGTTTATAGAGAATACAAACCCTCCATCTTGAACAATTTACATTGATAATGAGGTAATGGTTAGAATTCCTACCATCACAGTTCTACTCTGTTTTACTTTACAGTGTACAGAGTACTTTACAGTAGGACCTTAATAACTCGTACCTAGATATCTTGGACTATTTTTTATCTCAAATTATCATAATCCCCTTGATATCCTGGTAAACCGCATTGTTGAAAATACCACCTATAACTTTTTAAATATTTAACCTTGATAAAATGAGTTTTGACATTTTGTGATATGTAATTTTACTCTATACTAGTAGAACCCCGTCGAAATCGACGGTTAATCTTGAGGTTTTATGTAAATTCAGCTAACTGCGATAGATAGAGTGAAGTCATTAAAATCTTAGTTAAATGAAGGGAGGATAAGCATAATAATAAGTATGACGATTGTGTTCCCTAAAAAACGTGATTGATGAATTCGTTTAACACAATTTTTCCTACCTTTTTATCGGCTTTAGGTTACCCAAAAGGTTTTTTAGGAGTCTTATAATTGTTTGTTCATGAGTTTGTTTCATGTCAAAGCCACTTTCACTATATGGGAGAATGAGTTCATATAATTAGTCTATCATGTTACGGAAAGAGTCAATATTTATTACTAACAACTAATTCAATCTGCTTTAGGAAAATCATTCAGATTGTATCCGGATTAATAAGTAAATCTTCATCTTTGGTCATAAAAATACAGAATTTTATCAGCATATTTGGCCTAAATCATTTTTTTTTTATTTGATAAAAATATCTGATTCTCTAGAAAGCAGTAAGATTCTTACTTCGATCTAAGCAATTTTAATTCCTTCTCTTGCCACATCGACCCATGTATTAAATCATCCTGTTCTTACTTGATAATTCATTAACTTATGGGATAGTTTCGCCTTGGCCAGATCGATAACAAAAAGCTATGCATGTATTTCATGGATGGAATGAACCATAATTGTAGGAAATTTGATCACAAATCTTGAACATTTGCGGGACCAAATCCATAACCTAGTCCAGCCTTGGTAACAAATTATGCAAATGCGATGAGATGTGATGACACTGTTGTGTTTCCGAATGCTTTGTATGTAGTGAGGTTTAGATGCGTTGTTCGACCTAGCTACATGTGTACAGCAAAGTAAAAACCCTGTACACATTTTTTTAAATACCTGAATTAACATTAGTTCACCTACTTTACCAAAACCATAGACTCCGTAGTTAGTCTATTCCAAAACTTGAACACAGCTCTCATCCTCAACGTACTCATCTATGACACAATTTTTAACCCGATTGTCGAAAACTTTTATACCAATAAATGAATTTCTGGAGTTCTTTCTTGAATTAAAAAATAAATGGTGATTGAAAGTAGGCAGAAAAAGGCAAGTGCCAATCTTACAATATATATAAGCTAACCCAATAAGGAATAATTATATGTTCCTTTGAAATTGATATGTCTTACTTATTTCATAATTCAAAATTTCCTAAGAACAATAAAGCATAGATTTTTGAACAAAGCATTTAAAACGTATCATACATTTATCATTTTGTTGAAACTATAAAAAACTTGCCATGCAGTGGAGAATCTAATAATGTAAACATTTAATTTTGACAGTTTCAGTAGACCTTTGAATATTTTAACAGTAACAGCTGGTTCATTAAAAATAGTGTAAAATTATCCATATGGTCGTAAAGTAAACAAAATTGCTGAGTGAACTTTGAAGACCTCTGGGGCAGAGCCCCATAGTTATTTGTGTAACTAGTGGTGAAAGTGGCACTTTGCTGCACACGAGAGCAATGTTTACGCACGAGCCGCAGGCGAGTGTGGAATGATCTCGAGTGCAGCAAAGGCCTTTTTCACTCGTGTTACACATTATATTTTTCCTACAGTCACTATAAAGCATATAAATAATTAGTCTTTCAAACACTATGCAACACGTTTTTAGGTTCAGCTGGCAACACAAATGGTGCCCTAGAGAAAGTAGTACCCGCGGTCCATATCACTCCGCTATTTTTCCTTGGCAATAAATGTGCTCCGCGTTTTGAGAATATAGTTCCGTATGTTTTTGTAATTTGAAGTGGTTTCCGCGCCTAAAAAAAATGCTTAAAAGGTATTTTCTTGTTTATTAAGATCGTAGGAAGGTTTTAAAAACGTTTAAAAGAAAAGTCCAGAAAGTTCAGAAATACCGAAACTATAAACACGAAATGACAGGTTAAATCGTAGTTATAATAGTCAATCAGCTGCTCATAGTATAATTATCTTTAAGTGTTGCCAACCTATTTCCAAGCGTACACGGATTACGTGCATAATGGAACCACGCTGTTTTGTGTTGTTTCGTTGGAATCCTGATGTGCGGCAAAGTATAAACCGTACGGCAAAGTATAAACCGTACGGCAAAGTATAAATATGCAGCAATTAGCAGCTTTCTGTACTATAAACAGTACAAGGAAGCCAACTTTGTCGGGTGACTGTAGGAAAAGGAAATTTACCTCGTTTCTCTTTTGAGGGCTCACCTACAGACCAATACCTTTCTTTAGACTACCAAGTTTCTAAACAAAGCCGTTCTCTCAAATTAGCTGTGACAAAAACCCCGTTTTCCTCCATAAGAATAACATGGGATGGGAATTTAAAGGCCACTGGGGCAGAGCCGCGAGGGAATTTACCATGTTTCTCTTTTGATGGCTCATCTTCAGACCAAGACCTTTCTTTAGACACCCCTACCGAGTTTCTACGCCCAGCCGTTCTCTCAAAATAGCTGTCACAAAGAAAAACAGTTTCAAATTAATATATAGATTACTCGAAGGTCCTCGTCCAAAAGCCTCAATAATTCAAAGCGTACCTTTATAATTCGTAGTTCTCATGATTTGCTTCATTACTCCATGTTTTATGCCCTACTGTGCATAGTCAGCTCTTTTTAACTCTTGTTGAGATGTGAACATTTGTGGGTATTGGACGTCATGTCGTCAGTAAATGTAAAATGTTGATATACAAAAAAAAAAAAAAAAAAATATGAAACCCTGGTTAAAACAGGAAACAGCTGAAAGTTATGAAGATTGTTTTTTCTGCGTTTACAGATTTATGTAAGAAAATTTGGTTTTAAGTATAACAAAAAGTCTTATTTTGATGGAACAAACACAGTACTAGGCTTATTTTATTTCCAAATAATTGTTGATTTGCATTTCATACAGTAGCCTATTTGAAATAAACAAGCAACTTTATCTAAATTATTGTTGTCAACATGGTTTGTACAATGCAAGGCTTCAATCAACTGTGTCTTTACAATAAATTTTTATCTTGCTTCTACAATTTACTCTTCAATGCATAGAAATAGCGTGAGCTTGAGTTTTAAAGGTAAAGCATTTTAAAAGTTGAGCTATGAAGGTTGTGACGTTCCATAGTATTTAACATCTCATTACTAAGTTTTAGGTAACCATGATAACTCAAACGTCACATAAAAAACTTGATAGGTTGAATGTTTTCCCTTACCTCAGATATCAAAGTCTTACTGTGTAACAATATACTGTGAACCAGTAAAATTTACTGTTTTGAATGGTTCCTTGTATAAAATAGCTGTAAGAGCAACCAAATATAGTTTTAGGGGATGTTAAAGTCTTCTTGGAGTGACTAATATTTGTAAGGTCAGGGTTTGAATCTCTTAAATCATCAACGGCTTTGGGATAATGTAACTTGGGGATTCAAAAATCACCTTTATCTGCAGGACTATCTTTATAAATAAGTCTATTATAACTTTAAAACCCTTCGCGGTTGAATGGCGAGTATAGGTCGCCGCCCGCAATTTGCCGTCTGCTCAAAAATGGCGACCTACAAAGACCAAAAGAAAAAAAAAAATAATTCAAAAATCAAAAAAGTTAATTTTTTTGGTCGAATGGCGAGTATAGGTTGCTGGGCGCCATTTTCCTGGCTGATTGAATAACAAGCTAAATTCACCGGAAAATGTGGAAAAAAATTCGACCTCAAAGGGTTAAGTTCAAAGTAAAATTCGATAGCTGAGTTGTTATTAGAGTTACTTCTCTGACAATCAAAAAATTGATTACTAGTTCAATCATGAGAAAAGTCAGTAGATTTCGGCCGACCCAGCTGTTCTCATATCATTGGGATCTTAATAAATGATTCTGGTTTAAAGCCCGTAACGGAGCTAACCTACCTACACCTACACATTCGTCCATGGACCCAAAGAATATGAAAGTTATTGATTCTACCCACTTGTTGTTCTTTCATAATCAGCCAAAAATATGCAACTAAGTAGCGTTGTTCTCATTAAAATAGTGATATATTGTATAACTCTCTCCGCTAAAAACAAAAGGTAGGTACTCTAAAACTAATAATGGCGATATATAATTTGTGTTAAAATAATATTGAGCTTTAGCTTTCAAATCAAAGAGAAGAGATATTAATGTGTAATGTAATAACATTGTTGAATCCGTGCTAGCAGTGCATTCCCTGAAGGCTGCGATATATTTTACAGAAATCACATAAATCTCGCTACAACGTCAAACTTTTACACCTCAGGAAGATATCAAGCCGTGTAATATCCTCTGTTTTAGGGTTACGAGCCTCTTGAAGTACCATATGTTGTAAAATA